TTTCCCCTATCTTCCTTTCAGACCAGGCTTGGCTGTTACCAAATGGGCATTGATTGCTGATAGCTGGTGCCTGTGTGAATGATTACTTTGTGTTATACCCCTTCAGTATAAAGTTGGTGTCTGCAACTGGTTAAAAATTCTCCAATGTAGGAGTGTTGCTGTTTTGGATTTTCCCTGAATTCGGAGTTTTGAGTCCTGGGTTGCTGTCTTGTTGGTGGCATGTCTACTCACCAACAACCCTACCTCAATTTAATAACAAGTTCAGTTGGTCAAACAAAAATTAAAGAAAACAGAGTATTTATGAAAATTATTAATTTATATGTAACATACCTAAAGCTCCTCACAACCCAAATAACTTAGTAAGTTCTCAAGCCAGCTTCCGAGCTGGCTCATGTAAAGCCTTAAACATACCAAACAAAATCTAACCGTTTTATTTTACAGCTTCCTCTTAACATCAGAGCCAATGCAATTTCAGGGCCACCAACCCTGCTCTGAATTATGACCTCCTGTGCTTGAAATGAGTTGCAGGTTCTCTTAATATTTCTGCAGAGTTGCAACCTCTTGGTTGCAGATCCATCTTTACCCTAGAGGTAGACAACTTTTTGGTTGGAATGGCAGTCTTCTCTGGTCTGGTGCTGTGAAGATTAGTGAAAGTATCATTGATGATGCAGTCTTGGTAAACTCCAGGACCGTGGGCCCCTCCCCTGGAATTTGGTTGCAACAATGTATCATTGAGTGAAACTTGGTCAGATTAGCCTTATGTACACAAGGAAGATGTGTGAATTACTGTAATGTTCAAGGTAGCGTGTGTGCTTCAACACTTGCTAATTTCCGATAATCAAACATTGCATACAGTCAGACTCCTATATAGTCACACACCTCGGGACCATAGTGAAATTTCAAGAATTTTGTTAACTATAGTGTTTGTGACTATACAGGACATGTTTTTACTATGATTAATTAGTAGCAGGGAATTTTTCAAATTAACAAAAAAATGTGATTATACTATGTTGTGACTATATAGGAGTCTGACTGTATTGAAATGTTTCTTCTGCAACAGTCAGTCATGCTGCCTTGACATCTTGTAGTTAAATTATAGTAATATTATTATTATTAATGATTATGCAAAGTAAAATACTAATCGTTTGTTCACCATCTTATAATTACCCAGCAAGATCTGCTTTGTGTTTTGATTCCAATTAAAATATTTAAAAGACATCACATTATGTCAATACAAGTAACTCTGGTTAGTTATTAACACGTATTCCCAAACCAAACCAAACCAAACAACAACACTCACGTTTTGTCACCTTGGACACTGTCAAAAAATAAATCAATCAATTCGCGTCTGTCCTACCAAAAAAAAACCAATAGGATAAATGGTGTACGCGTCGATCAAATACAAACTTTTTTTTTTTTAGATTTTAATGATGCCAAATAAAGGCATGATTCTCGAGCTGGGGGAAGTGGGTAATTGTTTATCGCAAGAATGGTGGTGGTTATCGCCCGCCACTCGTTGTCACTCTAGTTAATGCATTTAACCAATATATTAGAGAAAAAAAAACAAAAATTAAAGGTTAGAAAAATTTAATAAAGCTAGGGAGCTTGATAAACATCTAGAAAAAATTCGACATGATTACACATAGGATTTAAAAGATAGGTTTAATTCAGTTTGTCAACGTGCTGCTGCTCTGTATCTTATTGACAAGCTTGCATTAAGAGCAGGAAATAAGAAAACTGGCAAAGAAGCAGATACTGTGGGTTGTTGTTCCCTCAGATGTGAACATATTACTCTGGCACCACCAAGGTAGGGTTCCTAACCATAATTATAACTCCATATTTGAATATTCGTAAATCCAAAATTACGAATTTCGAATATTATTTTGGATACTTGTAATTATTTTGGATACTTGTAATTATTTTGGATACTTGTAATTATTTTGGATACTTGTAATTATTTTATAATCGTGTAGTTTGCCTTTTTTTCTGCCGATTATTTTTGTCGATCAATATTTATCACATCCGAAATTTGTCACCGAAAATATATTAATATTAATGCTAACAAAAAATATATTTTCGGTGACCTGCCGTTTTTTTTAATTGAAAAATATATTTTTGGTGACCTTCCGTTTTTTATTAATATTAATTCTCATGTTTTTTTTTATTGTAAGTTTTTTACCATTTGTTTTGATTCAGAGGAAATTATCTTGCATTTATATCTTTTTTCCAAAAAGAAAAAACCATTTTTCTATTACTATAATAATAATGATTTAAATATCTTACTCTAATATTTAATTAAATTTCTGTATAATAATAATGGGCTTGTATCATATATCACTTACCTAAAAATTTCAAAAAATTTATGATAAAACTTATGATAAATAAAACTTATGATAAAAGAACTTGATAAAAACTTGATAAAAAAACTTATGATAAAAAAACAATTTTTTTTTCGAATTAATTTCTTTATATAATAATAAAATATGACAGGTCACCAAAAATATATTTTTTTAATAATAAAAAAAACGGCAGGTCACCAAAATATATTTTTTTAAAACGGCGGTCACCAAAAATATATTTTTTCAATAATAAAAAAAACGGCAGGTCACCAAAAATATAAAATAAAAATTTTTCCATTAGTAATACTACTATTAATAATAAATAATAATAAAAATACGGACAGGGCCAAAAATATTTTTTTTGTTTGTTGGCATTAATTAGTGAATAATATATTTTCGGTGACAAATTTCGGATGTGATAAATATTGATCGACGAAAAAAAAAGGCAAACTACACGATTATAATTATTTTGGATACTCGTAATTATTATGGATACTCGTAATTATTTTGGATACTCGTAATTATTTTGGATACTCGTAATTATTTTGGATACTCGTAATTATTTTGGATACTCGTAATTATTATGGATACTTGTAATTATTATGGATGCTTGTAATTATTTTGGACGCTTGTAATTATTTTGATACTTGTAATTATTAATTATTTCAGATATTTCAAATACTTTATTTAAAATATTTAAATATTCAACAAATCACAAATGTATCTACTAAATTATATTTGCTATAAAAGAAAAAAACATTGAAAATTTAAGAAAATGGTTGAACTATTTTTAAATTA